CAAGCAATTTAAGATCTGAGAGGAACGTGTCTGTTTCCACTCTTGGGGTTCCGTAAGAAAAACAGAACTTTCTCCCCAAAAAGGAGTCTTGTGCCTTCTCTTCTCCACAGGGGTCTGTATATGTGTATGTGGCATATGGACCTCATTAAGCTAATATGTCGGATATGAGGTTTTAGTTAAGTTTACTTTTGACCATTAAACCCTTTTAAAAATCCTCTTGGCTGGGCACAGTGGCTCATGCCTGTAATCCCAGCAGTTTGGGAGGCCGAGGAGGGTGGATCACGAGGTTAGGAGTTCATGACCAGCCTGGTCAAGATGGTGAAACCCCGTCTCTACTAAAAATACAAAAATTAGCCAGGTGCAGTGGGTAGCGCCTGTAGTCCCAACTACTTGGGAGGCTGAGGCAGGAGAATGGCGTGAACCTGGGCGGCAGAGGTTGCAGTGAGCTGAGATCACGCCACTGCACTCCAGCCTGGGCAACAGAGTGAGACTCCGTCTCAATAAAAAAAAAAAAAAATCCTTTTAAATCTTTAAATCTCACTACCTTATTTCAGCCGGGACAAACTGCTGATATTTCAAAAGTAACACAAATTTCAAACCAGAAACGGTGTAGGAAGCAAGCCTGGGCTGTCCTGGTGGAAAAACGGCCCACTCTCCCCACGGAACTGCAGCATGAGGTGATGGCACTTACTCTTCGGGCTTGGCTGGGAAAAGGTGGCCTTGTTATGCAAATAAAGCCCATCAGGTAGTCAAAATCTCGTTTTCCCTTTTTCTGGCTTTTTATTTTTCCTATTTCCCAGCTGTGGGAATTCAGTTAATTCAGAGGCCTTGTTTCCCATAATTTGGAAGTTTCCTTCAGATCTGACCAAGTCTAACAGAGTTCGTCAAATCCAATGGGAAAAAGACTGAAACAGCAAAAATAGCAAACACAGAAACAAATAAACAAAAAGCAGTTAAGCAAAACAAACAATCCCACAATGTATACATTTACTGAGCATACTAATAGTAAGAAATTAAGACCAGCCAGTTGTTCATCTTGGCTTTAGTCATTGAGGACTTCCTAGACAGAACCCCAATTCTGCTACGTACCTAGGAACGGGGCCCGGCTTTAGACTGCTCTCTGCCATCCTGGAATCAGGAAAAACTCGAGTTGTTTCCGAGCTGAAACTCCAGGGAACTCTCCTGCTCCCCATCACTACAGAAGCAGGAAACTCGCCTTCTTTGTTGGAAGCAAGTGAAACACCAGAAAAGGAAAAGGCGTTGTACGCAAAATAAACCTCAGACCTCAACCAAGTTTTGGGAGATCAGAGATTCTCTGGAGGGTGGCGGGGCCCCCAATCTCAGCCAATTGTCCTATTGTCCTGAGCAATAAAGAAAGCCCAGACTGGTCCTAAGCACCAGCAGAAACTCTGTCAAAGGGCGGGGCCACCTCCACTCCGAGTCCCTGCATGGTCGCCAACTCGTTAAGCCAACAAGTATCTGAGACAGCACTCAGTCACCTTAGAGGGTTATTTGGCCAAGGTTAAGGACGTGTGCATGAGAGCCAAGTCTGTACCTTCCTCCAAAGATGATGCTGAGGGCTTCAGTGTTTAAAGGGGCTGGAGGGGAAGGAGGGAGGGCATGGTACATCCTTGAATCCACGTGTCACAAGACAAAAGGAGTCAATTATGTATTTGTCTCATGCTCAGTAAATTGGCACTTCACCCACTTTTTGATGGAGTGGGTGAAGGATATGAACAGACACTTCTCAAAAGAAGACATTTATGCAGCCAACAGACACATGAAAAAATGCTCATCGCCGGGCGCGGTGGCTCACACCTGTAATCCCAGCACTTTGGGAGGCCGAGGCGGGCGGATCACAAGGTCAGGAGATCGAGACCATGGTGAAACCCCGTCTCTACTAAAAAATAGCTAAAAATTAGCCGGGCGCAGTGGCGGGCGCCTGTAGTCCCAGCTACTTGGGAGGCTGAGGCAGGAGAATGGCGTGAACCCGGGAGGCGGAGCTTGCAGTGAGCCGAGATTGCGCCACTGCACTCCAGCCTGGGCGACAGAGCGAGACTCCGTCTCAAAAAAAAAAAAAAAAAAAAAAAAAAAAAAAAAAAAAAAGAAAAAATGCTCATCATCACTGGCCATCAGAGAAATGCAAATCAAAACCACAGTGAGATACCATCTCACACCAGTTAGAATGGCAGTCACTAAAAAGTCAGGAAACAACAGGTGCTGGAGAGGATGTGGAGAAACAGGAACACTTTTACACTGTTGGTGGGACTGTAAACTAGTTCAACCATTGTGGAAGACAGTGTGGCGATTCCTCAAGGATCTAGAACTAGAAATACCATTTGACCCAGCCGTCCCATTACTGGGTATATACCCAAAGGATTATAAGTCATGCTGCTATAAAGACACATGCACACGTATGTTTATTGCAGCACTATTCACAATAGCAAAGACTGTGTATGTGTGTGTATACTACACAATGGCAGTGCTGGTTTATTACTATTAGGTTTTGAGATGGAGTATCGCTCTGTCACCCAGGCTGGAGTGCAGTGCTGTGTTCTTGGCTCACTACAACCTCCGCCTCCCGGGTTCAAGATTCTCCTGCCTCAGCCTCCCAAGCAGCTGGGATTACAGGCTCCCACCACCACGCCCAGCTAATTTTTGTAGTATTAGTAGAGATGGGGTTTCTCCATGTTGGAACCAACCCAAATGCCCATCAATGATAGACTGGATTAAAAAAACGTGGCACATATACACCACAGAACACTATGCAGTCATAAAAAAGGATGAGTTCGTGTTCTTTGTAGGGACATGGATGAAGCTGGAAACCATCATTGTCAGCAAACTATCGCAAGGACAGAAAACCAAACACCACATATTCTCCCTCATAGGTGGGAACTGAACAATGAGATCACCTGGACACAGGAAGGGGAATATCACACACCGGGGCCTGTTGTGGGGTGAGGGGAGGGGGAAGGATAGCATTAGGAGAAACACCTAATGTAAATTAGTTAATGGGTGCAGCACACCAACATGGCACATGTATATATATGTAACAAACCTGCAGTTGTACACATGTACTGTAGAACTTAAAGTATTAAAAAAAAAACATGGGCACTTCACACAAGGTGAACAAAGAGTAGCTACCTGTGGAGAAACTTTAACTTGTTATTTGTAGCTCTCTGCTTAGGAACAAAAAGGAAGCAGTTTCTTGCGTGACTCATCTTTCAGCTTATTTTTTTTCTTGTGGCAGAGTGAAATTAGCGTTCCAGGTTTTGACTGGCCTTTCCCAATTCCTAAGGCTCTGTGTATGTGTGTATACACTACACAGACCTGTATGGATTAGAAATTGTACGTGCGTGGCAGGCAGCAGGCTCCCTCCCGCTGGCACCTGAGAAGTCTGTGTCCAGGACTCTCCGCTGGCCACTGAAACAAGCCAACGGGAGATTGCATGGGAAGCTTGTTGGCCAGACTGGAAACTAATAAAGCGACCACACTGTCACTAAACACATCAGGCTTCCAGACAGGGCAGAGCCTTCTCAACACAGGGGAAGTCTAGCCTGAGCTGAGGGTTGCTGGAGAGGGTGCAGCCACCTGATAACTTGTCTCATGCCGTTGTACTCAGGTCCCTTCCACGGCCTTCCACACTCAGGAGCCCTCATCTGTGGGCCAGAAAGACAGGACAGCGCTGGCAAGGCCACTTCCAAAGTCTCAGTGCTATGGCTATCCCATGCCCCCAGCACACATTCCACATTCTTCTTTAGGGCCTTTTAATAAGCTGAGTCAGACTACAGTCAAGCAAGGAGCCCTGGGGCCCGTTAGTCGACTTTGTACCTCTTTGTTCTGGAGCATTACATCTGAATGTTTAGCTCTTAGAATCTGACCTTTTCCTCAAGTTTGGGGGCATCTTATTCACCTATAACTTCCAAGTATTCACATTGTCTCCTGAAACAAAGGCAAGGTTTTTTTGCTTTTTTTTTTTTTTGAGACAGAGTCTCGCTCTGTTGCCCAGGCTGGAGTGCAGTGGCGCGATCTCGGCTCACTGCAAGCTCCGCCTCCCGGGTTCACGCCATTCTCCTGCCTCAGCCTCCTGAGTAGCTGGGACTACAGGCGCCCGCCACCGCGCCCGGCTAGTTTTTTGTATTTTTAGTAGAGACAGGGTTTCACCGTGGTCTCGATCTCCTGACCTTGTGATCCGCCTGCCTCAGCCTCCCAAAGTGCTGGGATTACAGGCGTGAGCCACCGCGCCCGGCCAAACAAAGGCAAGTGTTTTAACTGTCCACCGTGAATCAGAACGTAAGATGCCATCTGCTGTCCATCACTCTGCACAGCCAGCCACTTCCAACATGAACATACTAATTTATTCATTTATCACCACAAAGCTCGCTCTCTGAGCCAGTCACTCTTGCCTCGACCGAGCTGTAAGCAGCTTTGGGGAAGGCAGGACCAAACGGCACTGGAGAAGGGGCCGCAGCTTCTCCAAGGTGGGGCGGGCCTGGTGCCACCCTCCCCGAGATCACTGGAGAAGGGGCCTTAGTTTCCCAAACGGCACTGGAGAAGGGGCCGCAGCTTCTCCAAGGTGGGGCGGGTCATGCCACCCTCCCCGAGACTGGAGAAGGGGCCTTAGTTTCCTGAAGGTGGGTGGGGCGCCCTGGTGCTGTTCCTCCCCGAGATCACTGAGAAGGGGGCCTTTAGTTTCTCACAGGGTGGGGCGGCCTGGTGCCACCTCCCCGAGATCACTGGAGGAGGGGCCTTAAGCCACAGGGTGGGGCGGCCCTGGTGCCACCTCCTGAGATCACTGGAGAAGGGGCCTTAGTTTTCAAGCAGGGTGGGGCGCTTCTGGTGCCACCCTCCCCCGAGACTGGCTGAGGAGGGGCCTTAGAGTTTCTCACAGGGTGGGGCGGCCCTGGTGCCACCCTCCCCGAGATCGCTGGAGAAGGAGCCTTGGCTTCTCACAGGGTGGGGCGGCCCTTCCTGAGACGCCTATTGCAGGGAGTAACAAATGCCATGCAAGGGTGCTTGTTTATTCTTTGAGATGTGAACTGTAGGCATCTGCTGTGCTGGGGTTCCTGTGCCGCCGGTAGGGGCCCCAGTCCTCCTGCTCCCGAATGGTTCTCTGGTCACTCCTGCTGGAACTGCAGCTGGTGAGCGTCTCATTTGACGCTCGCGTGATGATGATCTGTGGAATGACCACTTTCTTCCTGCTGGACTTTTGCTTTACATCACGTTTCTCTAGAGGAAAAAACATCCAGGCATTTAGTAGATGTGTGGAAAGCTCCTTCCACTTCCTGCCATTGCTCAGAGGAAAGAAATTAGATGTATGGTTAGCAGAAGAAATGGGTGAGTCCAAAAGTGATCAAAACTGTCCATGAACATTCCAGGGCTTCATGGATTTGCAACTCAGCCATGAGGGTTGCTGATGCTGGACACCCTTTTTCAGGGAAGAAAACGGGAGAAACACTTCCACCGTCCGCGGCAGGATGGCGTCAGGGCGGCGTCAGGGCGACCGGCACCAGAAGGAGAGAGGGCACACGTCCCGGCAGGGGCCGCCTCAGAGCTCCAGGTTCAGAGACATCATTTCCACTTCAAAGCTTTCTAATTCTGGTAAAGCCCTCTGTCCAGAACTTTATTCATTAGAATGTTCTAGAAATGGACATTTCTGATGTTGCTCACATTTTCTTAAACTTGTTAAGGTTACAAGGAACGCCTGAGACCTTTGAAATGCCAAGCACTGCCAAGTACGAAGCAGAAGTGCTCCTTCGCCGGCTGCTCTCCTGGCCGGCCACCCGCCCCCTTCCTGGACTGTCATGCTACGGACTTCTGGGAGGGCAGGACGGAGCTCGCTCTCTCTGCACACATATGTGTGGTGCAGGGTTACAAGACTCACAGTCACCTTCTCACAGAAACATAACTACAGTGGGTATGTTGTTCTGCAGCTTGGTGGGGACACTTGAGAGCTCACGAACCTGGAAGCAAGGTAGGATGGACAGCTGGCAATGGCAGTGCCGGTTTATTATTTTATTATTACTAGTTTTTGAGACAGAGTCTCGCCTCTGTCACCCAGGTTGGAGTGCAGTGGTGTGATCTCGGCTCACTGCAACCTCTGCCTCCCGGGTTCAAGTGATTCTCCTGCCTCAGCCTCCCGAGCAGCTGGGACTACAGGCTCCCGCCACCACGTCCAGGTAATTTTTGTATTATTAGTAGAGATGGGATTTCTCCACGTTGGCCAGGCTGGTCTCAAACTCCCGACCTCAGGTGATCCACCGCCTCGGCCTCCCAAAGTGCTGGGATTACAGGTGTGAGCCACCACGTCTGGCCGACAGTGCTGGCTTTTATCGTGTACCTGTTCTGAGCCCTACAACAGTGAAAAATGACACACGGCAGCTTCTGCTATAGTCTCTGACAACCCACATTTCACAGACAAAAGGGAGGCACAGACAAGCCAAGCCACCTGCCCAAGGCTCGTCAGACCGGGGAGCCACAGAGGCCAACTCGCCTGCCCAAGGCTAACCAGATGGGGAAGGTGGAGAGGCCAAGTCGCCTGCCCAAGGCTCGTCTGATGGGGTATTCAGGCGTCGGCCTCTCCCTTTGCCTGCGGTGCTGTTACAGAGCCTCATCTGTGTCAGCTGCCGAATGACCCACAGCTGCATTAAGCACTGAGAGATGTCCCTTTCTCTTTTTCTGAGACAGAATCTTGGTCTGTGGCCCAGGCTGAAATGCAGTGGCGTGGTCATGACTCACTGAAGCCTCAACTTCCTGGGCTCAAATGATCCTCCCACTTCAGCCTTCCAAGTAGCTGGGACCACCAGCATGCACCACCACACCCAGCTAATTTTAAAATTTTTTGTACACTCAGGGTTTTGCCATGTTGCCCAGGCTGATCCCAAACTCTCAGGCTCAAGTTATTCTCCCACCTCACCCTCCCAAAGTGCTGGGATTACAGCAGCCATGAACCACTGTGCCAGCCCTTTTCTTCCATTTTTAGAGACAGGGTCTCACTCTGTAGCCCAGGAAGGAGTGCAGTGGCTATTCGTAGATGTGATCATAGCAAACTACAGTTTTGACCTCCCAGGCCCAAGTGATCCTCCTACCTCAGCCTCCTGAGTAGCTGGGACCACACATCTCACCTGTGGGACCATATTATTCCCACACCACCATAACTGGCTCACTTTTTTTTTCTTTTCAGTAGAGATGAGGTCACCTTGTGTTGCCCAGGCTGGTCTCAAACTTTTGGACTTAAGGGAGCCTCCTGCCTCAGTTTCCAAAGTGCTGAGATGATAGGTGTGAGCCACTGGGCCCAGCCTATTCCCAATTTTTATCTTTTTCAGACAGTGCTACAGTGAACATTCTTGCATTTATGTGTTCACACTCTTTGGAGGGTTTATCTATTTGTAAATTACTAGAACTTCTGGGTAAATGGGTATAATTCACTTCAAATTTTGGTAAATACTGTCAAACTTTTCTATAGAGACTACGTCAACTTACATTTCCACAAAGAGACTATGAACTTAGAAAGGTGTTCCCTATTCCAAACTTATAAAAACATTTGCCTATTTTCCACTTTTTCTCTTTTTTTTGGGGGGGGGGGGTCAGGGTCTCACTCCGGTGACCCAGGCAGTGAGGGCAGGCACAGCCCACCTGGAGCAACCACTGCAAAGGCACCAGCTGCAGCAGACAAGGCGTGGCCAGGGCTGCGTGCTCCACAGATCCCACGGGAGACAGGAACAGGCAGGAGCCTCCCCTCTCCTGAGTTGATGCGGCAGGGGCCCAACCCAGCCACAGCCATGGCCCTGGGCATCCCTGTGCTCTCAGGGCCGAGGAAGCACCCCCAACCCCTGCAGGCTCAGCAGTGCCTGCTCCCACTGTCTGGCCTCTCCCCACTTTCACCGCCCACTCCAATTCCCACCGCCCACTCCAATTCCCACCGCCCGCTCCGACTCCCACCGCCCGCTCCGACTCCCATCGCCCGCTCCGACTCCCACCGCCCGCTCCGACTCCCACTGCCCGCTCCAATTCCCACTGCCCACTCCAATTTCAGAGCAAAGTTGAGGCCAAGCCCAGGCACTGCCATGACCTGGCCAGGTGTACATGCACTCAAGGCAATACTGACAAGCCAGCCCCCGCCGTCTCGATCCCCCTCCAGACTTCAGGTCCTGACGAGCATGGGGAGAAAGGTGAGGGGGACCTGAGGGCAGTTCAGCCTGAGCCTGCAGGTATCCCTTAGCACGAACAGCCTGGACACCATGGACAACATGATTAATGGCAGCAGGAGGCAGAAAGGCTCTTGGGCAGAAAGGAGCAGGGCCTCAGTGAAGCCCCACCTTCAAGCCAGGGATGGCCTAAAGCCTGGCTGTGCGCAGCGGCCGGACCCCACACTTGCTCTCCCACACACCGCTCACTGTTGTCTACCTGGCTCGCCATTTGCAGGTGTGGGATCTGGACTAGGAGTGTGAGCCGAGTGCAGTCTGCTGGCTGAGTGGACAGTACAAGCCCAGCAGGTGTGAGCAAAACCCAGGCAGAAGCGCTGCGGCCACAGAGGTTTCTGGCTAGCAAAGTGACACCCTAAGGCTCCCGTGACAGCAGCAGGTGGTGGCACGACCAAGACTCAACAAAGCCCCAACCACCCAGACTCAAGTGATCCTCCCACCTCATTTAAAATTTTTGTTTCGGGCCAGGCGCGGTGGTTCACGCCTGTAATCTCAGGACTTTTGAGAGGCCGAGGCGGGAGGATCACGAGGTCAGGAGATCAAGACCATCCTGGCTAACATGGTGAAACCCCGTCTCTACTAAAAATACAAAAAAAAAATAAGCCAGGTGTGATGGCAGGCGCCTGTAGTCCCAGCTACTCAGGAGGCTGAGGCAGGAGAATGGCGCGAACCCGGGAGGTGGAGCTTGCAGTGAGCCGAGATGGCGCCGCTCACTCCAGCCTGGGCGACAGAGCGAGGCTCCGTCTCAAAAAAAGAAGAAATGGAATCATACAGCATGTGACCTTCTGCGATTGGCTTTTTTCACTCAGCATATTTTTTAATAGCTCATAGAAGTGTTCCATTTCTCTTCTTATTCAAAATTTTCTTGCAATCAAGCATACTCTACCTTCATAAAAATGTTACAGGCCGGGCACGGTGGCTCAAACCTGTAATACTGGCACTTTGGGAGGCCGAGGTGGGCAGATAACAAGGTCAGGAGTTTGAGATCAGCCTGTCCAATATGGTGAAACCTCATCTCTACTAAAAATACAAAAATTAGCCAGCCGTGGTGGCGGCGCCTTAAGCTGAGGCAGAAGAATTGCTTGAACCGGGGAGGCAAAAGTCTCAAAACAAACAAACAAACAAAGTTACAAAAGTGTTTAAACCAGCCGGGCGCGGTGGCCCACGCCTGTGATCCCAGCACTTTGGGGGGCTGAGGCAGGTGGATCAGCTGAAGTCAAGAGTTCAAGGCCAGCCTGGCCAATGTGGCGAAACCCCATCTCTACTAAAAATACAAAAAAATTTAGCTGGGGATGGTGGCGGGCGCCTGTAATCCCAGTTACTTGGGAGGCTGAGGCAGGAGAATCTCTTGAATTTGGGTGGCAGAGGCTACAGTGAGCTGAAAGCTGAGATCGCGCCACTGCACTCCAGCCTGGGCAACAAGAGTAAAACTCCATCTCAAAAAAAAAAGAAAAAAGAAAGTGTTCAAACACACAAGAAAACAGAATATTTTCTATTGCACCTAAGCAGCGCTCAGCCTCAATCAGTATTTTGTTGTCTTGTTCTTTCTTCATTTTTTTTCCTATCTTTTTTTTTGAGATGGAGTCTCACTCCATCACCCAGGGATGATCTTGGCTCACTGCAACCTCTGCCTCCTGGGTTCAAGTGATTCTCCTGCCTCAGCCTCCAAACTAGCTGGAATTACAGGTGCACACCACCACGCCCAGCTAATTTTTTTGTATTTTTTGTAGAGATGGGGTTTTACCATGTTGGCCAGGCTGGTCGCGAACTCCTGACCTCAAGTGATCCACCCGCCTCGGCCTCCCACACTGCTAGTATTACAGCATGAGCCACTGCGCCCAGCGTCCTGAGTATCTTTAAGTAATTTCAGACATGATTTTACCCATAAATGTTGCAGTATACCTCTTTATCAGATAAGGGTTGTGTTTTAGCATAACTACAATAGCACTGCCACATCTAAGAAAATTAACACTGACTCATCCCCAAATACCCAATCTGACTGTCTCAGGAATGACTGAGCCCAGGTTCTAGGTCTCTCAGGTTTCCTTTTAACATTTCCTTCCTTTTTTCCCAAGTTCTTTATTTGTGGTAGAATTTCCAACACTGTGGAATAAGATGACTGTAAATCTGTGATGTGTTAGATCTCTGTTTGTATGTTTGTGAATTTTGCAACGCAAAAATTTAAGCATATACAGCAGTAGTCATGATAACAGTATAATATATCTGTATTGGTCCATTTTCATGCTGCTAATAAAGACATACCAGAGACTGAATAATTTATTCAGGAAAAAGGTTTAATGGACTTATAGTTCCACATGGCTGGGGAGGCCTCACAATCACAGCGGAAGGCGAGGAGGAGCAAGTCACGTCTTACACGGATGGCAGCGGGAAGAGAGAGCGCTTATGCAGGAAACTGCCATTTTTAAAACCATCGATCTCGTGAGACTTATTCACTATCACGAAAACAGCATGGGAAAGACCTGCCCCCATGATTCAATCACTTCCCACCCAGTTCTTCCCACATGAGGGAAATCAAAATGAGATTTGGGTGAGGACACAGCCAAGCCATATCAATATCCCAACAGCTGCCACAGTGATTAACTCATGGCCAAACTGTCTCCCCATCATGGCCCTTCTGTTCTGGTCACTACTGCTCCATAGTAATTTACCCTAAGCCTCAGCAGCTTAAAACGACTACTTGCTTTTCTCTGGATTTTATGGGTTCAGGACAGGTTTGGCAGGACAGGTATCACCTGTGGTTGCCCAGGCAGCTGCAGGCATCTAAAGACTCACTGAGACGTCCAGGGCGGCTCTTGGGGCTGGACACTGATGCTGGCTCCCCCTGAGGTGCACGCCCCAAGCTGAGACGACTCCAGGATCCAGCCAGAGCCTGGAATCACTGACGGCTTGTTCACTCACAAGTCTGGCTCCTGGGTAGGAAGGGCTTAGGGACCAGGACTGCTAACTGCACTGCTTCCCAGGTTCAGATCTACTCACAAGTCTGGCCTCGGGGTAGGAAGGGCTTTAGGGACCAGGACTGCTAACTGCACTGCTTCCCAGGTTCAGATTCAGGTTAAACCACTTCACTACCCTCCAAAGTCCCTTAGTAGGACGGGCTTAGGGACCAGGACTGCTAACTGCACTGCTTCCCAGGTTCAGATTCAGGTTAAACCACTTCCGTCACCCTCCAAAGTCCCCAGGACGGGCTTAGGGACCAGGACTGCTAACTGCACTGCTTCCCAGGCTCAGATTCAGGTTAAACCACTTCCGTGACCCTCCAAAGGCCCCTTGTGTTCAGCTGTGGTTGACTCCCATTCCTGCCCAGCAACCATTCATCTGCTTCTCTCTGCAATGTGTTCGTCTTTTCTGGACATTTCATGTAAAGGGAATTGCAGTATGAGTGGTCTTTCCTCTGGCTTTTCTCACTTAGCGTCCCACCTTCAGGATCCTTCACAGTGTGGCAAAGGAGTCAGCAGCCTGCTCCTCACCGTCGCGCAGCCCGTCACCGCACGGAGAGCGTGCACACTTCATCTTCTCTCTTGAAACTCTGTCCTCACTCTTGCTCTGTTGTTTTCCCTTCATGTCCACCTTCCTCCCACACCCTCTGGTGTGACAGACACTGCTGGAGCCTTTCCAACAGGCGGTCCTCCTTCCCCCACTTCCGTTGCTAGTAGAGGTCCTGCCCACTGCTGTGTTTCACAGCTCCCTCCAGCCCCTGCAGAATCTGCACTGTTGAGTGTGGTCTAGAGAGGCTGGGCAGGCGAAGCCTTCCTGGGAAAGGTTTCCTTGCTAATATAAAGCAAGGAGCAACGCCTTTGAAGTAGACGCAGTCCTGCCTGCATGTGGGGGCTGTACACTCACTGGGGGCTGTGGACACTGAGAGTGGTCAGGAAGAGACATGCAAAGCCCTTGATGTCACGGCTGTGCTAACAAGCCAACCTGGAAGCCCTGCCTCTGACCCTTCATTTGTGAGACATTAAATCCCTGTGTTAAAACTGTGTTCACTTAGCTTTTCTGTAACTTTCAGCTAAAAGCACCCTGACAGACAGGTAGCATTTTCCAAACCGCCATCCTAATGTGATGCTATTCCTGCAGACTTCCATCCTCTAGTGAGGGGTTCCAAAGTTGGGAATTCAAATCCAGGCCTTTCTTCCAAGTCCAAGGCCCAGAGCCTCCGACTTCCAGCTCTTGATCCCACAAGCCTATCTGAACCAGTCCAGACCCAGCTCCTCTGCCTAGCAGGCCAGTCATTCCCGACACTCTTTCTTGTCTGACCCGAGTGGTTCATTTTTTTTTTTTTGAGACAGTCTCACTCTATAGCCCAGGCTGGAGTACAGCAGTGGCGTGATCCCGCTCACTGCTACCTCCGCCTCCCAGGTCCCGGTTCAAGCAATTCTCCGCCTCAGCCTCCTGAGTAGCTGGGATTACAGGCAGATTCCACCATGTCCAGCTAATTTTTGTATTTTTAGTAGAGATGGGGTTTTACCATGTTGGCCAGGCTGGTCTTGAACTCCTGACCTTAAGTGATCCACCCACCTTGGTCTCCCAAAGTGCTGGGATTACAGGCGTGAGCCACCATGCCCAGCCGAGTGGTTCATTCTTGTGATGAAACTGAAACACTTCCTCCTGGCACAGGCCCCCAATCTCCTCAGATGACAGGCTCTGCGGGTTCTGCCTGCTTGACCCTTCTGAAATTCGTACTGCAAGGCCTCGCTGGCTCCCACTGGGCCAACAGCAATGGGTCTCTGATGGGGCCACCTCCCCTGGGAACTTGCTTCCCTGTTGGTAGGCACAGACCCCATCATACCGCCCTCGTTTTTCATTTTTAAATATTTGTTTTTTGTAGAGACAGGGTCTCACTATGTTGCCCAAGCTGGTCTTGAACTTCTGGGCTCAAAAGATCCTCCTGCCTCGGTCCGCCAAGTAGCTGGGACGACAGGTGTGACACTGCGCCAGGCAGCATCTCCGTTGTTTAAACTATTTAACACTTCCAGCTCCATGTGGTAAAACTGATGGAAAACTTTGTATTCTAGCTTCTTCCTACCGTTAGGGCCTCATCTTCCCCACACACACCCAAAGGTCTGGTCACACTAGGCTGTTATAAAGGATGCCTTTGTCGCACCCAGGTTCTACTCCTCAGTCACCCTCCACAATGTGCTTGCGCGAGCAGCCCTCGGAGAGCTACACTCCAGCCTGGGACGGCCTCCCAAGGCTCTGTTCCAGTGTGTGGAGGCTGAGGGATTCCCGGTGGCACCAAGATACCCAGCCCTCCAGGAGAACCTCAGGTGAGACACACGCACACTGCTTCAGCCCCTCGACCACCTGGTACACACTTATCACTCGGGAACTGACCTACATTTTCATTAAACTTATGTTTTCAACCAAGAATTCTGGATATTTACCTCCTACATAAAGTTCCTAAAACAAACCAGTTTCAACTTTAGCGCGCGTGCCTGCTACTAGTGTCCATCCGGTAAGGTCTTAGAAGTAGGCTCCTCACCCCAGCCCCAGATCCTCCAAGCCGCTGACCTCGCTTCGCTCCCTCCCGCCGTCTCCTACCTTCCTGCGAAGCTGCCGGCGACAGGTGCTTGGCTGTCCCGGACCCCGGGGGGAGGCTGTCCACAGGCTTCTCCGACTCCCTGTCTGCCTGCCTGGTTTCCTGCGAATGCTTCTCCATCAACTTATCCTTAGGTTTTGGAACCGAATAGATGGATTCCTTCTTTTGCTCCTCACCTGAAACATATGGATCATCCGTCAGACCCGGGACTTACCGAATCCAGGGCAGTGGGTCCCATCGTCTTCAGTCGCCTGTTTGGGTCTAGAATAAGCTGGCTTCAAAGTCTCGAGTCTCTCCGTTTCCGTAACCGCCTCAGGCGGGAAGACACTTAAGGCGCCGTCCGTGGCGGACTCGGCGGCAGGAACGGTTCACCCCGGGCCAAGGTCGGCGCCTGCGCTCGCGCCGCCCCGCCCAGCCCCGCCCTGGGCCCGCGCCGTGGGGCGGAGAGGCGGGGAGCCCAGCGCCTGCGCCCCCTTTACCTTTCCTGGGTTTCTGTTTGCTTTTGGAAAGGCCCATAGGTGAGCCCACCGCCCCCGCCGGCGCAAGCCCGGGTCCCCGCACCTCCGCGGCCGCGCAGCCCTGAACGACCGACAAAAGGTCCTCGCGGCCGCGGCGCGCGTCACCATGGCAACCGCGCGCCGCGCAGCCCCGCCCCACTCCTCTCGCGGGACCGGCCACCATCCTCTCGCGAGAGCAGCCCGTGCGACCGGAAGCGGGGCGGTGACCCCGGAAGTCCCCGCCGGGTGCAGCTTGGTCAGTTCGATCGCCGCCGGGACCTGACGCCGCCCGGAGTCGGCGTCGCTTCTCTCTCTCCGAGTGCTGCTCCTGTCATTGTGGCCATGGACGGTAAGAGGTCGCGGCCGTCCTCCGGGGACTCGCGCGCGGGGCGGGGCCGCTTCTCCCACTGGCGTGGGCTCCGCCCACCTGGGGCCGCGGGCGGGGCTCGGGAGAGCTCTCGGGCCTCGACCCTCGATCCCAGACCTGGGACCCCTTCCCCAGGGCCTCGACCACCGACCCGGAACCCCTTCTCCCGGGCCTCAACCCCCGATCCCCGACCCAGACCCCTTCCCCGGGGCCTCAACCACCGACCCGGGACCCCATCCCCCGGGCCTCGACCCTCGATCCCCGACCCGGGACCTCTCCCCTGGGGACTCGACCAGCCACCCGGGACCCCTTCTCCCGGGCCTCGACTCCCGGCCGCCGACCGGGACCCTTCCCCAGCCCCCGACCCCCAACCCGGGATCCTTTTCCCCTGGTCTCGACCCTCGACCTGGGACCCCTCCTCCCGGGCCTCGACCCCCGACCCCCGATTCGGGACCCCTTCCCCCAGGCCGCCACCCCCAACTCTCAACCCGGTACGCCTTCCCCGGGGCCTCGACCTCCGACCCCCAACCATGAACCCAAGACCTAGACCCCTGACCCAGGATCCCTTGCCCTGAGCCTCGACCCCTGACCACTGACCCAGGACCCTTTTCTCCGCCCCTGGCACTCTTCAGCGTCAGGTGCCCTTCCTCGCCAGCTCGGTAGAGGAGACTGAGCAGATGCCTGTTCGGCCTTTTGGGCCCTGGAATATCGGGTCAGAGGGCACAAGAAAAAGTGACCGTTGCACCCCCTCCCTCCAAACAGCATCAGGACAAATGAGAAGAGCTCAGACAAAAGTGTTCCCTAAGTGCCAGGCCCTGGTCACAGCAGCTCTTTGTGTCCATTCTCCAGATGGAGAGGCAGAGGTTTGAGCAGGAGCCAGCCCAAGGCAAGGGGCTCCAGGCAATGGAACACCCTGGTTCTGACCTTCTCCACCTGGGGCCGGCTCTGTGCTCAGGGATACTAAAGAACAGGATGAATCTGGCAGAATGAAGTCCTGCATTTGCTGAAACGTTGGGCTGGTGTGATGGGCATACTTTTAAAAATACCTTTTGCAGGACCCATTGCAGCGGCTCAGCCTGTAATCCCAGCACTTTGGGAGGCCGTAGGCGGGCAGATCACAAGGTCAGGAGATCGAGACCATCCTGGCTAACATGGTGAAACCCTGTCTCTACTAAAAATACAAACAGCTGGGCGTGGCGGTGGGCGCCTGTAGTCCCAGCTACTCGGGAGGCTGAGGCCAGAGAATGGTGTGAAACGGAGGCGGAGCTTGCAGTGAGCTGGGATCAGGCGAGGCACTCCAGCCTGGGCGACAGAGTGAGACTCTGTGTAAGAAAAAAAAAATACTTTTTGAAGTGTGGGAAGCTATAGTACCACCGTGTCATCATGAAGGAAATGTGTAGAGATTTTCTACAGATTGCCTTGAGAGAAGATGAAAGATAGCATCTACCTCCCGCTACAAAAAATCTGCTGGCCAGGCCAGGTATGGTGGCTCAGGGCTGCAACCCCGGCACTCTGGGAGGCCAGGCGCGGTGGCTCAGGGCCCCGGCTCTTTGGGAGGCCGAGGTGGGTGGATCACGTGAGGTCAGGAGTTTGAGACCAGCCTGGCCAACATGGTGAAACCCCATCTCTACTGAAAATACAAAAATTAGCTGGGCGTGGTGGCAGGCACCTTTAATTCCAACTACTTGGGAGGCTGAGGCAGGAGAATCACTTGAAACTGGGAGGCAGAGGTTGCAGTGAGCCGAGATTGCGCCACTGCACTCCAGCCTGGGTGACAGCAAGAATCAGTCTCAAAAAAAAAAAAAAAAAAATGTGACTTTTCACTCCACAGCTCACTCAGCTCTTTTGAGGGGACTTCTCTCAAGCCCATGTCAGATTTCCACAGAGTCAGATTTTGCCTTAGCTGGGTTTTTGTGTTGCCGCACACGGCTGGAGAAGAAAGCTGAGGTGAGGAGGGGTGGTTGGGCCAGCATCCAACGGTGAGTTGGGTGGGAAGGCCTGCGTGGCCTGCGCTGTGTCACCTGGGTCAGGCTGGCTGTTTTCCAGTCACAGATAACCTTGGCCTTGACCACACTGCACTGATAGATGACAGATTGAACTTGGCCTTGACCACACCTGCACAGACAGGCGATAGATTGAACGATGCCTGAGCTCACTGGAACCCCAGGAGTCTCGTCTTGGAGCCTTGATTTGCATTTGTGAACACTCTGTAACCTCACTCTCTTACAGGCTCCATTTCCTCATTCTGGCTGGTGTGGTGAAGCCCTTTCAAGAATCAGGGGTCACTCTCCAAATTTAGCAGTTGAATGAATTCAGATCAATCCTACTTTTTAAAAAAATATATTTCTTTTTTTTTTTTTTTTCCAGACAGAGTCTTGCTCTGTTACCCAGGCTGGAGTGCAGTGGCGCGATCTCGGCTCACTGCAAGCTCCGACTCCGGGGTTCACACCATTCTCCTGCCTCAGCCTCCCGAGTAGCTGGGACTACAGGCACCTGCCACCATGCCCGGCTAATTTTTCGTATTTTTAGTACAGATGGGGTTTCACCATGTTAGCCAGGATGGTCTCGGTCTCCTGACCTCGTGACCCACCTGCCTCGGACTCCCAAAGTGCTGGGATTACAGGCATGAGCCACTGCACTTGGCCAAAAAAAATATTTTTTTGTAATAGAGATGAGGTCTGACTACATTCCCCAGGCTGGTCTCGAACTTCTCACCTCAAGTGATCTGCCCACCTCCACCTCCCAAAGTGCTGTAGATTACAGGCTTGAGCGACTGCCCGGTGGAAATTAGCTCTTTGATGCCTAAGAGTTACCACCTTGCTATTTTTATCCATTTACCTTTGGGGAGAAAGAGTCTGTAAAAAGTGAACTGTCAAGTACTGAACTTTTAAATTGGCCCAGGCTGGCCTCAAATCCCTGGCTTCAAATGATCCACTGGCCTCGGCCCCCACAGAGTGCTGGGATTACAGGTGAACTTTTAAATTGGGAAAGAATCCCAAGGGGCTTTTGCAAAGTTGCATTAATTATAAACCACCATCTTTTGGATTCTAACCATGGCCAAAAGATGCTGCGTCCACGACCTCTTCCATCCTCACACTAACCCTCTAAGATTGACTGGTGCCGTCCTCATGTTCCTAACAAGGAAACGGGGGGGGAGGGTCTGCATTTGATGGGCCCCGTGGCTAGCAAGGGGCCAGGGCTGGCACACGAATCTGTCTTGTGCCTCCCTTGTTGGGGGGCTCCCCGAAGGCCCCAGGCAGGTGTGGTCTGTGTCTGTGTTGTAGCTCCTGGTGTCTAGAAGGATCCTAGTAAGTTCCGCCTGCTAGAAGTGTCACATCCCATTCCCAATCCTCAAACCATTCCCTCTCTCTTTGCAGATACCCTGTTCCAGTTGAAGGTATGTACCGAACGGCCGTTCACCCCAGCCCTGTTCTGGTGAGGACAGATAGTATAAGCCACACTCACTCAGAGCCACAGAAACAGTTGGGCAGATGATGTCATAGTTGAGTGACCACCACACAGGGCTCAGACTGCTGAGCAAGGAGGGGATTATTGAGCCAGCTTGGTGACATATTAGCTCTTTTCTTATCAGGCTAAGTGGAGGCAGATCCTTAGGGTCATCTATGAAAGACGGAGTGTTACCTTTTTTTTTTTTTTTTTGAGATGGCATCTCGCTCTGTCGCCCAGGCTGGAGTGCAATGGTGCGATCTCAGCTCACTGCAACCTCTGCCTCCCGGGTTCAAGTGATTCTTCTGCCTCAGCCTCCTGAGTAGCTGGGACTACAGGTGCCCACCAGCATGCCTGGCTAAATTTTTTTTACATTTTTAATAGGGACAGGGTTTCACCATGTTGGCCAGGATGGTCTCCATCTCTTGACCTCATGATCCGCCCACCTCAGCCTCCCAAAGTGCTGGGATTGCAGGCGTGAGCCACCACGCCCAGCCTGGAGTGTTATCTTAAGAAAGACAACTTGGGCATTAGGCCTCGGTGTTCCACTGTGTGGACTCATTCTTTGAGATCATTTGAAGCAGAGCTTTCTGAGTATTCCTTCCATGTGGGGTGGTGGTTGCAGCTTCCAGTAATCCAGGGCAGGTTTCTGTGCATTTCCCTGGGATGTGCTCCTGGCTGCTCCTCCGTGACCAGCTTCATCTTGCCTTGTCGCTGGCTCTGAGCTCCTGGGATCTTCTGCCATCATGGTGGGTCTGTCAGATACTGCTGGGCACAGAAGGGACCCACTGAGGCCTGCTTGTGTCCTGAACCCTGTGGCGCTGTGCTGGCGGTCCTGAACCCTGTGGCGTCTGTGGTTCCAGATGGGTCGCCAGAGGCCCTGTTTCCTTGTGGTGCTGGCAGAGCAGTTAGGCCCCCAGCAGCTGTGTGTGCTGCCCAGCAACCTGTTGCATCCACAGCATTCTCTCAAGATAACATTTTCAGGTGTGTTTTTACCTGGAATTCCATCTTACGACTTGGGGGTAGCCTGAAATTAGTTTTCTTGAGTCTTTCTTTTACGTTGAAATCCATCTCTAAGCAGGGGTTGAGACCAGAGCGAGAGGTTTTGGACCCTTCACTCTGGAGGAGGCCTTGGGTGAGGGTGTTCACAGAGAAGACAAACACTGGAGAAAACCCAAACAGAGCCTGAGGCCGAGCAGAGAGCTTCCTCCTCCAGCTGGTGCTCTCTCTCGCCCCCCGGGATGCACGCCCGCAGGCTTCGTGCCTTCCCTGCCGTGTGCTGGGCCCAGGCTGGCTGATGGGTGCTTAGAACCTGTGTGGGCACAGGTG